ATGTATCTCAAACGAAAATTCGGAAATTCTCGTTGCTTAGTTGATAAACAAAATGTTTCAGACGATAAATTTGTCAACAATCACCTTTAGTTCATGTTCTTGTACAATGCAATTTCTTGAACCTTCTGGCTGTATTTATTCCTAGTTTTTAGAATGACATGTTTATTTTTGCACTCGAAATCTGGCTGTAAAGACGCACAATGAAGTCACTCCTTTTTACCGCCATTTTGAGCCTTCGGAAACGTTCGGAACAGCTTCTCATCAAGTTCGCAATACTATTACAGGTAAGGTTGACGCATGCGCAGACGTTTTTCCGCGGTGTTATTCCGACGTAACAGATGGGAAATTTGTCTGAGCATGCGCGAGCCAAGCAATTGCGTGGAATACACGCAACGCGTGTTGACAAAAAGGCACAATTGTGTAAATATTGCCAAATCGGTTTGGTACAAAATAAATGACTGTTTTATGGTGAAAATGGACGTGATCTAAATTAATCATACAGAATTTTTTAGTGACGTTCTATTTCAGTACCCTGCCATTGTCTCTGGTGTGCGCTCGAAATCTGGCTGTAAAGACGCACAATGAAGTCACTCCTTTTTACCGCCATTTTGAGCCTTCGGAAACGTTCGGAACAGCTTCTCATCAAGTTCGCAATACTATTACAGGTAAGGTTGACGCATGCGCAGACGTTTTTCCGCGGTGTTGCCTCTTGCACACTATCCGCTGATCGTCGTCATCGATCGTAAATCGTACCAAATGTTAAATAAACGATTTTTCGATCGTTTTCTCAACAAAAACAGTTAGCTGAACATCATTCACATTGCGTTTTTATCAGTTATGCGGCGATTTCTTGCAAGTAATTCCGCGGCTGGCAATTCTCTCGTTGATTGCTATGAATAGCCAGCGGGAGAGTCGAGAGGGACAAAGGGATCCGTGTTCACCAATCGTCATTTTGTCCCGGGCCCGTGGTTGGCTCTCGCCGGCCTTGCTTATTATCTGTCTTGCCATGGTTATGTATCGATCAATTCGAAACTTCACCATCCCCCCCGGGCCGACCCCGGGAATTTGAAATTCTCCACCCCCTGTGCAAAAAATATCTTCAAATGCCCCATTGTAACAAGAAATTAAGCGTTCAAATGCCCCACCTTCATATGAAAATTATGAAACAGTAAATACAAAAAGTACACTGAAATATACGGAAATGTTTTTCGACAAGATAACGAAATTCACGTAAAAAGTTTGGATACCTTGTGGAAATTTAACAGTTTTACACAATTATGTAGTACATACCTTCAAATGAAGCACATAGATTTTCCATGCCCGTTTCTTTGAGCCAGTTTTTCACAAAATTGAGACCGTTTCCCTCGAAATCTGAGAAAACTGTATTTGCCGCCAATGTGAAGTATTTTCTGTGCATGCAGGAAACACGCGAAAACGGGCAAAATTTTAAGACTTCCGGTTCAAATTCCCCACCCCGTTATCAAATGCCCCACCACATGGAAGACCTAGAACTTCAAATTCCCTACTCCCTCGAGAAGACTTGAAGTCAAATTCCTGGGGTATGCCCGGGGGGGGGGGGTGGATGATGAAGTTTCGAATTGATCGGTACATTACAATGCACAATTCGCACGATTTAGGCCTTAAATAAGAAGTTACCCATCACACCTTGCACGCTTAGAGTTTAGTTAGGTTTGAGAGTTTGAGCAGTTGAAACAGCTGTATATCCACACGAGGCAAGTTTGAAAAGTATCCCTGGCCATGAGTTTGGCAACCGACAATTAACGGCGACGGCATGCAGAAAACAAAATTACTTATACTTTTGTATTCGATCCTGAAATTCCCTGAAGTAACAACAGTATATAAGTAGGTTTTAGTCTGATGGCGTGGTTATGGGCCGTGAAAATGATGTAAATAACGTAGCAGTTTGAACAACTACGGCGTATTAGAAATGCTTAATATTAAGGGTGGAATGTAAATTTAGTTGCCTTTGACTTTGTCTTGCTCAGAGTAATTGAAGATGCTATTGTTGATGAGCACGTTCTTGTCGCCGTTGTAGTTGCCAAACTCTCTAGCTAATATACCTGAGTGTCCAATAATAAGCCCATGGTCATTGGCTTGTACACGAAGGGGCGTATGGAATTGAAATGGCCTGAGCGTTAGTGAAGAATATGATGAAGGGCTTGTTCAAGAAAAGGGGGCCTATACTCGATGCAAGTTTACACTCCAGTGCGATTTACCTGGAGAAAAAGACCAACTATCAGACAAAATCGATCGAGACTCGGAATACTAATGTTTTAATAATCAAACTATTCGTGATTTTTGGTATATTTTTAATGTGTTTTCAGAGATAAGTCGGATACAATTTATGAAAAGTTACGAAAACTTCTCCACAATATGAAAAAAATTGACTTCATTTAAAAAAATAACTTATCGTACTCTGGCAAAAATTTACTTCGTTACATGCCCACTTCTCAAAAATAAAACTTATGTAGAGTAACGAAGTACAGTGAATTCGTTACTAGTCACCACTCATCTTTTCCTTATTCGATGGATTTCCGTCTAGAGCGCCAGCGCTTGTTAGCCGCCATCTTTATGTTTGAGTATATTTTGTCCGCATGCATTCGTATAACCTGATTACCTCCCAGGTCCGTGATGATTCCGCTGATCACCAGGTCCGTACACACACACACACACACACAAAGGCATGAAACTGATATGAAAATGGTAAGCTTAAAACCCGTTTCGCTACTTCTAAATGGGTACATAGCCGTAATTCTAAATTTTAGAATGCGGGTAATACCCATGCTAGGTATATACCTCAGCTACCTGAACTGAAGACAAAACCACAAGCATTGGGCAAAAGTTTTACTTATAAATAAAACCGACCATAACTGGCGATTGGCGGGGTGGGGCATGGCAAAACCGTTTTAGTTTTAGGTTTTAGGAGTAGTAGATATAGGCCGTTTCATGGACATCACTACATTTTTTATCACATAAAATCATCACTACATTTTTATCACACAAAATGTCAATACTTCATGTAAGACAAATTATAATGTACCCGGGCAAGTTTTGGGCATGCCCAGAATGGGAAATCCCCAGTCCGCTTCCTTGAAAACGGAATTCCCGGAATAAAAACCATGACGCATGACGCCACTTCCGGTCCCCCAATTCCTTGCGCCCCACTGGGAACACACTATCCTCGAAAGTCTCTTCCCCCACTCGCGCACAGCTCCGCACAACCACCGCAAACCCCCCACCCCACGCGCTTGCTGGAGTCTTCCTGAAGTTTTTGCGGAGTCTTCCCAAAGATATTAGTGACTTTTGCCATTATCTGTATATAACGGCGGCAGCGTCGTACTCTGTTGTTGTTGAGTCCGTACGAGAGCAGATTGAAAAAAGCCAGGGGAAAGGTAAACGGTTTAAAGAAAAAGTTTTTGTATAATAAAAGGAACCATGTCCATTACCAGAGTATCAGACTTTTCCGAAGACTTATTTAAATTTGAGGATCCCGTCAAGAACAGGTTTGGATCTGAGAGGATCGGACTTGTTGCGGAGGGTGGTGGACCTCTATTGCTTAGGCTGGAGATTTGCCTAGCCTATGGAATCAACAAGAACAATAAGTTCGGAAAGGATAACTATACTATTCCGTTGGCGGTTGGACCGCACACGGAATTCATATCAGCTCTGGAAACATTGGAGAAGAAGTGCGCTGCGGTTATCGGGAAACCTGATACCAATGTAATAAGGTGCTTCTATCGGTGTGGCAACCTGTTCTGTATGCAAAGATTGATAAGAGTACGGTGATGTATGGGGAGGACGGAGACATGAATCCGATGGAGGAGCGTAATGAATATTTTTACTTGAATGCTTTGATTAGGGTTTCAAGTATATACCTATCCGGAAACATGGTTTCTGTTCAGGTTAAGCTCCAGGAGGCAAAGTATTTGAGGGTAAAGGTTGCTGAACCGTGGAAGAGGCTTCTATAAGCTTGTCATAATTTTAACACCGCTTCGAGGGTATTAAAATTGATCCGATTGGTCCCTATTACCTTAGGTCCTTGTGTCCTATTGCCGTTGTGTTGATTCCGTCCTCATTAACTATCCTCTTGTCGTCGTTTGCCGATAGGGCCACCTTAACAACCCTTTCCGTATAGATTTCATGCAGTCTGCTTCTGAAGACATTCATTCCTCTCTATTGTTTCTTACCGCTGAAGTCTGAAGAGGCATTCTTTGTAGTTGTTGAATGTTATTTCTTTCTTGATGACTACCTTCTTAACACCCTTACACTTTTTTTCTTCGTCCCCATCTTCAGCCATTTTGTAGGCGTATATATATAGTTTTGATCTTAATCCTACAAACTCTTCGATCTGCTTTGTGCCTGTTTCCAACTTCATCATCCCGATAACTTTCTTGTTAGCACCTGTTAGGATTCCGGATGGATGACTTTTGCCGAGGTTGCTGGTGTCGAATCTTTTGTGGACGTCGCCGGATATGTCCTTGAAGAAATCCTCGGTATTTATTTCATAACACAGGGAGTCTGTGTCTGTGAATAGGAGCTTGGCATCATCCCCATACTTTGGTTTGATGTAGTTATAGTGAAAGTCGTACATGAGGGTCTTGCTGATGTCCAGGATACTCATCCCTAAGTAGATGGGTTTTATAAGTTTAACGGAAGTCCTCCTCATGTGAACTGCTACGAGGTGTTCGGAGAAGATGGTTGCAGATTCGAAGTTGTGTTTTTTGGCAAACTTGTTCCATTTCTTTACATTGTTGACAAGCCTGATGTCAACCCTATTTCTGACATTTTCCATCGTCTTTCCGAAAACGGAGTTGTTCATGAGTTTGAAGAAGTCCTTCTCGAAGTCTGTGGTCCCTTTGGTACGGAGGTCTGTGTTAAGCTTGATATATTTTTCCATCCAGGGCTTCTCGTTGAATTTTACTCCTCGGTGTATCCTGGTTAGTTTCAGTCCCAGGCTCAGGTATTGCTTTAGGTTCCTGTGGTGAAGGACATACTTTTTCTTGTTGTTAAGGTTAGGAATGAGTTTTTCTACCTTGTTGACTATTATCCTTTCGGGTGCGAGTGGATATTCGTTGTGTTTGTCATGTAGGTCGTCGGGGTATTCGAGATCCACTTCAAGGATACAGCTAAGGTTTGTCCACTTTTCTAGCTCCTCACTGTCCATCCATTTGAATCCTCCGATGGGTAGGGGTTGGCTCATTGCACATGTTAATAGGAACCGGTGTTTTGAATTGGTTGTAGATATCCTTGTTTTCTTCTTCGAGCATGTCCTCGAATTTTTTGGTGATGTCTTCCCCCTCGTATTGCTGGGTATAGTGTATTAGCTTTGGTTTGTATATGGTATTATCAAAGCACTTGACGTAATAGCAGAATCCGCTGGGGTTGTGTTTTTGGTATTGGGCGGTACTTGACTCGTCGTGGTTCTGTTCCTTTGCATCCAATTCCTTGATATAACACTCGAAGTCTGCGTAGATGGCAAATGGGACGGTTTGTGTTTTGCATAGTTTTCGAATTTTGTAGTGCTACCGGGTTTTGGGTATTCGTGTCTTTGGTAATCGTTGTTCGAACATAATTCTAAGTGTTTTTCTAGGAGTTCGTTTGATCCAAATGCGTTAAGGCATCGGTCGCATATGTATTTTTTGTGTTCGTTTTTGCTGATTTGTGAACCTGCAAGCCTTGACATGTCTTTGACGACTCTGTAGTGATTCTTCCATAGGAAGAGCCTTATAGGGTCGGTTTTTCCTGATATCCGTAAGGGGTATACCTTAAGGCTTTCGTCGGCACTGAACACGTTGACACCGATATTGTTATTGTCTTCAAATTTCTTGATGTTATTTAGGGGTGTTGGGAATTCGGTCCCTTCCCAGTTTAACTCTTCGGATTGTTCTTTGAGTTCCTTTGAGATTCTTTCCGGATGGGTGTCGGTGGGGTTTAGGGCAAGTGTGACGGCCCATTTAAAACATTCGTCGTCGTCGTTCTTCATATTAATAATTGCTTTTTTGCTGGCTATGGATTTGGGTAGGGGTTCATGCTTTTTGCCCCTAAGTGGTCGGAACTCTCCGATGTGGATCTCCAACTGGGTAACTCTGCGTAGTCTCCATCCACTACCCCTCCTCTGGTATTCCGAGAAGGACTTTAACATTTTTTCCCTCATGATGCTTTGGGTTTCTTCCGTATCATCCGTGCCGATAAGTTTATGGTTCTTTGATCCGAAGTGAGCGATGGTTGACACTTCTTCCCCGGTTTTTGGGTCGCTTCTTACCATTTCGCAAGCTAGGGACATTCTTACGTTTCTGGGTTCCATTTCCAAGTTTATGAGTGTTTTAACCTCATCTTCCGTGATGGTTAGGAAGTAGGATGGATCGTAGGCGCCGTTTGGGGTGATGACGTACTTTTTTACCTTTTTGTTGATGGCATGTTTGGCTAGGATGGGTTTCAGGATTTCCCTCGGTTTTTCCCAGATTTTGCTAAGCTTGTCATCCACCTTTAGCTGAAGCCTACCGAATTTTCTCTTGCCTCTCCACTTACCCTCTGTGATCCTACGGTTTTCTTCAGCTCGCCTTTCCCGAGCCTTTGCGTTTCGCCGTAGTCTTTGGGATTCTTTTTTCCACTTTTGTGCCTCAGCTTTCCAGTCCGTGACCTCCTTCCGCCGTCTTTTCTCTTCCTTGGTGATATCGCTTTTCCATTTCTTTGTATCCCATATTGCCTTTCGTACGTCGGCCTCAGTTTGCTTCCTTCGTCTTTGGAACTGCCTTGCTGCTGATTTAACTTCCTTCCCGATTATTTTTCTTTTCTCCTTTCTGAGTAGTTCGTCGAAGTGGTTGTTAATTTTCCCCTCTATTTTTAAGCCCCTTTCTCGGGCCTTTTCCAGAACGTCAGTTCTCATGCGTTCGATAGATGCGAATTTTTTGTCCGAAATTGGAATACTCTGGCTTTTGGTTGCCATTACTTTATTATATAGATAAACTTTTTTTAATCTGTGATATGGTCTGAATGTTGATTTTGTTTTTTCTCAAACCCATAAGGTTTGGAAATAGTAATGGCAACTCCAGGTAGTCCAATTCTGGACGTATGAGAAATGTCATTTTATTATATAGGATTTTTAAAAGTTGATTCTGTTTGTAGGGCAGAGGATCCGCAATTGCGTCTTTTGGATTCGACAACCTCGCCAGGTCACTACCTGGCAGCCTTAATCGATCTGACCCTGTAAGGCTTCTTCCATTTCAGCCTCTATTTGCATGTCATCCAGCGTTTCCTCCTCCCAGTTCAATATCTCGTCCGATATTTCCCCCACCTCCCTCTGTATTTCATCAATTTCTTCTGCTTCCTCTTGTCGTTCTGCTATGTGCCGGAGGTTATAGTAGGATGAGAGGTAGGTAACACCTGTAGGCATACTTAAGCAGATTCCATCTTTCTTGTCCTTTTGGTTTTCGATACAACAGTCGTACGGATAGGTGGATCTGGTTTTTAAGTCGTGGAAATAGGTGATGAGACTGTGATACCCTTCGGTTCTCCCTTAAGGTTGTTTACCCTGTGGATTTCGGCACCTTTTCCCATCCATCCCTTTCCGAACTTAACCTTAAGCTTCACCGGACCGTTTTCACCACGACTTCTATGGTTAGCATTATGTCTTTGTAGCTAACCTGCTTACACATCCTTTCAATGTAGTCCATTTTTTCCGGGCAGCGGAAGTAGAGTTGGAGCCCTTTTTATTTCCTCCTTTTTAAAGCATCTCCTGGTGAATTGTTCCATGGTTGCTTTGTTTATATGTAGGAAAGTCTTGTCTATGATTGTTGATTCTGAATTTGAGATACTCTTGAAGCAGAATTAAGGACCGATAGGAGCATTCCTGAGATACTTTCAAGCAGAAGGTTACTTAATTTTTACTTAGAACTTACTCAAAAATATTTTGAGATACTCCCGAGTAGAATTAAGGTTACTTGAACTTTTTCCTCTATAAATAAAAAGGACCATGTCTCAAGAGAACCCAGATACGACAGCAGTGCCTGTCACGAATCCGGTAAAGACCTACGTCACGGACCCCAGGAGAGTGGAGTCGGGGCGTAGGCTTGCTAAGATCAGTAAGGAAGCAAAAGCAAGAAAGAAGGCACAACTTGAGGCTATCAAAGAAGAGGAGCAGAGCATTCCGGACATAGAGGGAAAAGATGATGGGTCAATAGTCGCCCTAGAGAGAGTCGACTTGCTGGTAGGTATTGCCGTAGGGCTCGGATCCCTTTATGTTATGTGGTGTAGTCGTTAGGAAAAGGACAAGAAGCCTGAGGGAAATAAGATTGTAGAGGAGCCGAAACCTGTTGTTATTACACCAAAGGGTCCTGATTTGTTTGACTGAGTATAATAAAACAATGTCACAGTTATTTCTGGATATGTTGACCTTCGCTGTAACAGCCGGAACTTATCTTATTTACATCCACACGGTTAAGGCGAAAGAAGCCAAACGCAAGACGATAGAAACCGAACGCAAGGCGAGTGAGGACAGGATGCTTGACATCTTGGAAGAAAGATTCTCTCTAATTCTGGAAAAGAAGCTAAAGGAGAAATAGTTCTACTATAATAAAAACATAATGACCGACACGAAGAAGGAAGTGATCAACGAACTGTACGATGCTGCGCTATTAACAACCGGAGTTGTTGGGGTATCCTACCTTGCCAAAACGGTTGCTGGAAAAAGCCTCGGTGCACCGATGACTATGGAAGGAGCAGCAAAGCTTGCTGTTGCTGTGGCAGGAAGTGCATTTGCCATAGGATACCTGAAGGATAAAGGGTATATCCCAATAGTAATTGATAAATATAAAGAATGACATTTGTTGTGGTTGAAGGACTCTTTAATGCTGTGGCTTTTGCTGGGGAAGGTTTTCTATTTTCCAAGTTGAATGGACAAGGATACAAAGAAGAGGTGAAAAGACATAACCAAGCCTTGGAGAAGCTTGCGAAAGCTAAGGAGAAATTTTATGAATCCGAGGTGAAGCGGAGAAACGACGAGGCAAGACGTCGGGCTGAAATCCTGGATGCTAACAAGGATATCGAGGAAACAAACAGAGCACTGGAGGATCTAAGGTATTATACGAGGCTCATGGATAGTACAGCACCTCAGCGCAGACCAAAATTGGAGGATTACTATCAACCGTCAGACGAAATAAAAAAATATGCAGTGTTGACAATGGGTATCCTGGGTGTTGGTGGTGCTTACGGACTGACACGAATATTTTAAATCTTACAAAAGGATTTAAAACCCTATGTTGTCAGAAGGAAGCAATTTATGTTTGTAGTTCCTGTTCTGTTGGTTACATTTCCAGCAGAGTCTACGTCCTTGGATTCCAAGCCAAAAATTTGTACCTTCATATTTCCGAAATTCAGGACGACAAAAAACGTAAACGAAACCTGAATGATTCTACTGCTTTGATCGCGTGTAAATATAACAACTGTTCCCACAGCATCATCGCGAAATCCATACAGGGTGGAGGATGTTGCCGTATTTTTTCCATCACTGACACTAAACCCGATGAACCTTGCGTTCTTCCTGTCCGCATCGGAAATGATTGGAGTTTGCAGGAGTCCGGGTGGATACCCAGGTATCTGGGTAAAGTCGTACTGTACTGAATTTTCTCCAAGGCTATTCAACCTTACGATGTCGTTTGCATGTTTGACGACCTCTGCCGTGTTCCCCTGCTGTGCCTTTTCGACTGTTGTCAACTTCCGTTTCAGGGTGTTCAGGTCTTCCGTTATTGTGTCAAAGTAATCGTACCCGAGTAAGATGCTCATTTTATTTAACGTCGAAATACTAGGTATGCAAGTCCGAAGGACGCTACTGCCGCTGTACCAAGAGCAATATTTTGAGTATCAGACTTCTGCCTCAGTTCTGGAGGTTTAAAGTCCTCCACGGTTGGGGTTGGTGTAATGTCATGACTTTCGTCTATATTATTCGTGGGGGTAGGAACGGGATTACTAGTATAATTTACCTCCTCATTTTTCCGAAACGTCATCCCGTTTTTAGCTACCGTTAGAACATTGCTGAATCCTGGAATAGGTTTCATTAAAATCTTCAGATCTGAAGGGATTAGGATTAGACCTGGCATGATAGCAAAATTTAAGATGACATGCGTGTTTGTAATAGCTGTCCTCATGTTGGAGATGGTAACTGTCACATCATCCTGAACGACTGTATCCCTGACAACTTTCCGGAAGACTTCCTGTGTCTGCAGGCTTTTGGCACCCTGACCTATGATACTCCATCGGGTTTTAGCCTGTGCCCCCAAAACAGAGTATACAAATGCCTCGATAGATTGCTGAAATAATTTCTGTCCAACTTTGGTAAGTCCTCGGGATGTTTTGGGAATAAGGGTTTTATAGTCATTTTCAACATCGAAGGGTGATCTACCGGTCAGGTATTCATATTCAATAAATGTACCTCCATATCTGGTCTGATGATATTTCTGACGTTGTATTCTCCTCTGTTCACTCGCAGGTAGACCGTAGTACCATGTTCCAAGATTTGCATGGGAAGAGACGGTTCTCCTGACCCATGTTTCACGTACGGGTGTGTACTTCCTAATGGTTTGTTTATCATCCCTTGTAAGGTATTGGTCCAAGAGTTTGGGGTTACGCATGAACCTTGATAGGTGAAAATGAAGGTGGAAGCGAACAATGGAGGTTACTATATTGGAGTGTGAGCTGGAAAAATTGTTTGTAAGATGATCCTCGGAAATTCCGGAATTAAACATAGCAACATAGCATGCCGCTAGGGAGCAAAAGTAGGAATTTGAATGGTAATCAAAGGGTATAGTATTGATAAAGGTTTCGGGGGGGTTGTCGTATACCGGTTTAATAGGCTCCAATTTCGTCAGGAAACTCTCGTCCTCCGTAGCGTAGACCCTAAAACTATGCACATCCATTTTAAAATCCTTATTTGGGCGGAAGATTGCATCCGAAAGAACATTTTGCCACCCCTTTACCCAGTGCAGGTACTTGGTCCACTCCGGATTTGTACGAAATGTGTCGGATGTGATATCATAGCTTGTGAGGTCATCCACCTTATAGAAAATGTCTCTGGACTCTACGGTCCCATCCTTGGCAAAGGTGACCTCAAAGTCAAACTTAGATAGGGTTGCATTAGGATATTTCCTCCTAAAATTCTCTTTTATTTTCCGGATTTCGATGGGTGCTGCCGCCTTGACCTTCTCATTATTCTTTCCGTAGTAGTTCCGGAAGATATCCTCGCTCATTCTTTTATTTGATGTAAAGTTCTAGCAAGACATCTCCGGGAACAGCTCCAGTATTGGACCCAATTTCAAACCGAATTTTACTGTATTTACCAGCATCCACCTTTACTTGGCTTTCAATGTCGTTGTATTTGGTTGTGGTCCAAAAGAGGGGTCTTGTTCCATCAATCGGAAGGGATGTGATGACAGTACTCCGATTTCCGTACGGTCCAATGTTATGCTCACGGTTCACAAGGTTACAGCTGACTGTGAGGTATCGCAAGCCTTCATGGATGTCTACGGGACGATCGCTGATGTGTGAGGTGTATGTAGGACCATTGGAGGATCGATATCCTAAAATACCCGTTAGATTTTGGAGTCCTGCGGAATTTGTTCCCTTGGCATAGTCAATCCTTATCCTCCCATCTGGATAATCCTTAAGTGTCAATCCGTTTTCCTCCAACTCTTTTCTAAGCTGTTTAAAGGTCCAGTACCCTTCATCTATCATAATCTTCTTCCCATCTACGGAGATGTAGTCATTATATCCCTTGCGAATGTTCTTATAATTCCAAAACACAGCAGCAGTCTTCACGTAAAGTTCAGATCCATGGGTAAGGATCAGTGGATCCTGAAGATCCAGGGTAGCCCCTCCGCCTTCAATATAGACTGTTATCTTCTTCATGTTTTATTTACAGGTAATAAAATGAATCTGGCACTGGATGTAGCTCTTCGAGAAATATATTTTAACGTTAATGGTGGGTACATGTCGATGGAAAAATTATACCAAAGTGCAAAGGAGGAGAGTATAAAGGGAGTTAGTCGAGAAAATGTTAAGGAATGGTTACAAACAAAACACCTACATTATTCACAAACCGTCCAGAAAACATTATAAAACCCAAAGAACCTATGTGGACGGACTTGCACAACAAATCCAAATGGACCTTGTGGATATGAGCAAGTTCAGCCACAAAAATAAGGGAAACCGTTGGGTTCTAACTGTCATAGAGGTTCTAAGTCGGTATGCCTTTGCAATTCCCGTATGGAGGAAAAATACTGAAAGCATGACGAAGGCTGTCGAAAATGTGCTCACACAATTTAAGGAGAGGTTTGGCAGATGCCCAAAACGGGTCAATTCGACGATGGAAAGGAATTTTACAATGTAGGAGTAAAAACATTGCTAAAGGATCATGATTCATGATGTCCACTACTTTTCCACAAGAACCTTCCGGAAAGCCGCACTTGTCGAGAGATTCAATAGAACCCTAAAAATAAGGATGTGGAAATACTTTACGGAAAACAGGACGAAAGTTTGGGTGGACATCTTACCTGCTCTCGTTAGATCCTATAATAATTCCACACACAGAACAATAGGAATGAGACCAGCGGATGTGAATGAGGAAAATAAGGATGAAGTTTGGACAAGGATTTATGGATATCCACTAAGCAGTTTTCCAGATCCTAAATTCAAGGTTGGGGATCACGTTAGGGTGGAAATTAAACATAAAACCTTTGAAAAGGGATACGAACCCAATTTCGACAATGAACTATACGTCATCACAGCAGTATTTCGTGGAGATCTCAACATGTATAGTCTTAAGGATCCGGAGGATGGGGAGGACATTCTGGAAAGGTATTATGAACAAGAATTATCTTTAGACTTAAATAAAAATGGATACCATAAAGCTGGACAACCTTAACCAACCGGAAGGTGGCGAAGGGGCTGAAGGAGGTGAGAACGAAGCAGTCATCGACGATACACCTGTTGACGAGGATGACTTTCTTTCCGGACTAGATAGACTAGACGATGCAAAAACCTCCAGTTTCCGTGAGGAAAATAGAGACGATAAGTATACAAAGAGGAAAAGGCAGTTAAATGAACTGAGCACATATGGAAAATTTGATGACATAAAGATAGAATACGTCCGGAGGCTTTTCCAAACTGAGTACCGAATAGATCCGACAGACGGACAAAACTCTAAGGAATTTATCTCCAGTTTAGACATCACTAAAAACAAGTTGACATTTAACGGGGCTGATGTCGCATACATTGATACGGGTGGTACCTACAAAATGTCTGAAAATAAGAAAACTACCACATCATCAAGAAAATTCCTTAATCTATACGAAAAAGCACTCGCCGAACACAGGGGAAGAGCTAAAAGTGTAGTCGAAGAGGAAACCGGAGGAGAGGCATCAAAAGTAAACGCGGAAGAGATTTTCGAAGACGCTGAGGAGGAATTCCGTCAGGAAGTCATCAACGCAGGTGACGACCTTGTGGAACACGCAAGGGAGCTAGGGGAAAGGGGGAAAATAACCACACAGGAGAGGAGGGAATTTGCGGGAGTAACCGCTCCCAAAGGACCCCCCGAAGTCAGGATTAAAGCCCTAAGAGAACAGAAGAAAGTATTTGAAACCAATATAGAACTCGAAACAGATCCCGAAAGACAACAGATCATGCAAGAGGGTAGGGATGTTGCCGAACAGGGTATAGATAACGCCAACCTAGAGATGGGTCAGCAACCCGAAACGGAGGAGGGAAAACACAGGTATAGGGAAATAGTAAGAGAAAATATCAGGACAAAATTCGAAAGATTCCGCAAATGGGCAAAGGAAAACCTGGGTGTATTAACAGCTATCGCTATTTCCGTCGCTGGAATCATCACCACAGTCGTAGTGGCAGGAAAAAAGACCATTGTGGGAGCCTCCAAAGGACTAGGAGCTGTAGGAAAAGCACTAGCCGGACTTTCAAAATCCGCACTACTAATCCTATTACCTATCCTAAATTTATTGAGTACTATCCTAAGCTGGGAAGCTAAGGGTCTCGCCTTCCTTGCCAAAAACCTATGGATTGTGGCAATCCTAATTGCCGGAGCTATATTCAAGTACCTACAAAACAGACGAAAGAAATAAATCATACTATAATAAAACATAATGGACCGAACAACTGAACTTATGCCCAACTTCCGAGTTCCGACGCATCAATAGGACGGAAATCACTGGGGATAGGACCAGACACGTTTTAACCTTCAATCCCAATTCTGCCAAACCCAGAGAAGAAATTTACGTTAATATCCCAAAGCTAAAAGCTGACTCCGTTCTTGTACCGGACAGTATGGCTTTGGTCTTCGACTTTAAGAACAGTAATACAAAATCCTGGTTTAGGAACAACCTAGGGAAACTGCTCCAGAAAAGGCTGGAAATCCGACTATCAGGAGAAAAGGTCTACGACAACAGTGGAGAAAGCTTGCTGGAAGTCTACAAAGACCTATGGCTACACAACAAACAGCGTGACGATATGGTAGAGGACGGTATCGCTAGCGAAGCCACCAGGAAGAAAATATCCAAAGACGACGCCGCAAACGATGATGCAGAGGCTACCGCATTGTTCGAAGTGTTTGGGACAAAACAAAAAATACGGATCAACAAAATCCTCAAAGATCATGGGCTCTATGCCCCACACAACATGGCAAACGACCTACAATATGTGATCACCCTACCCACAGCAGATGAAATCATGAATGCACAAAGTGGGGAAACTGTGGAAGGATACACCCTAGAGAACATCGAACTGGAATACGAGTCCATCGATAACATTGATCTCGCAAGAAAGGCCGAAAACCTATACGGATCCGAACGCGAGTTATCCTTCGAACACGTTACCCTAATGAAGAAAACAGAATGGAGCAAAGATTCCACCATTATCAACGAAACGATCAACGTACCACGCAGGTGTATGAAAGCCATCGTCATGCTATTCACAAACAAGACGAAAACCGATAGTGAGGAATATGTATACCCTAATATCGAAAAGGTTAAGGTAACCGTGGAAGGTGTTCCCAATGCAGTCTATAGCCAAGGTATCCCGAAAACAAGGCTATACGAGGAAGCAAGGCGACTGTTCGGTACTGGTGACATCAGCCACCAGACACTAACCGGCTTCTTCAAAGACAATAAATTCGTACTGGTCATCGATCTCAGAACCGCAAACGACGCCAACACATATGGAAACGGTGCTAAAATTCAAAACACCCAATCCGGAATACTGGTGGAAATCACAAAGAAAGCAACAACTGCAAACGTTGTATGTTACTTGTTCGTCCTTTCCGATGGTGTTATTAAAATCACAAACGGACAACTAGCTGGAGTAAAGTACTAAATTATTCAAGAACTATAGTTTTTCCATACTCAACAGAGTTTGGAAAATTTTTATGCTTGATCATCAGTCTTCGGTCCTTCCTCCTCAGAAGGTGGTTGTTCGGGCGCTTTCCGATAAACGTGTTTAATTAACCGTTGTTACCCCACCGCTAACAATACCCAGGTAGGGTACGTATGGGGACAACTTTGCCACTACGCTTTTAACATCACTCCTAAACAATTTATCCTGATTCAACTCCGTCCTAAGCTCCTCCCCACTATCCACCATGTTGGAAAATTTTTCAATCAGAGCTTCCACCAACACGGCGTTTGCCTTTTCCCTCTGTGCAACAATATAGTCCTTCCGAACTTTCATGATGACTTTCTAGGACGCTTTCCTGAGGTATTTTTCGGACTGAGTAATTTCCTCTGCATTGGACAGGCGGATAAGCTCTTCCCTATAGTCCTCGATCCCCATATTTTCTACGGTTGGTGGCTCCTGTTCCATCCTTTTTATTATAACACCGGAATTTTTACCTCGTGATTAAACGGATGTACCAGGTCCACTTCAAGATGAGCATATTTATTCTCCTTCAGCTTCTCCTTAATAGATCTCATTTCCGCATTGTTAACAAGAAGGTATTCATCCAGGATAATCTTCATGTCCTGCCTATTCGGATTATAGAACGTCACCAGTTTCGAAATATTCTGCCTGTACGGTTTAGCAATGGAGGTTAGCTGTTGAGTAATAACAATAGTGGAAATACTCATGTGGCGTGCGCTAAACCCAAGATCAACCAACTCCCCCGCACGGTCCTTCACAGATTTAGTGCTAGCACAATCATCCAGAATGATGAGAGATTACCTTCCCTTAGTAAAGTCCACTACAAATTTAAGGTAATCCTCCACGTCATCCTGCAGGCAGGGAATAACAAAGAAATTGTCGTCCTCATTAATGAAATCCTGATCATAGGTCCTATTCCAGTGATAGGTAGGACAAATCAGGAATATATTTTCAAACTGATGAAAGAACGTCGTCTTTAGCTCCCGAATGAGGTAATGCGTCTTCCCACAGGCCGTCATACCTACAATAATCATGTTGAATGGCATTTTATTTTCCGGTTAAATAAAAATGGGATGCTTGTCCACAAAACATGAAACCGCAAACAGGGTGAAGCACAACAAAAATCATAAAAGAAGAAAAATGTTTAATAACCTGGGTATCGATATCGAACGAGGAGACGATGAGCGCACATACCCATATCGGATATGCCAGCGCAACGGTAAAAAAATATGATAAACAAAACGATGAAGATACCGCGGAAACTGATGTGGCTGTGCCTGATCAGCTGCCTATTGATCCCGATCACGGTTGAGGTCCTCCTAATTATCATTACCCTAAGGCTACTACTCCAATTTTAATGGTTGGTAAAACATTAAAATTATTCAATATAATCCCAACCTAATGTCTGAAATATTTTCTTACACCGATCGTGAGGAATCTTCCCCTTGGGAATCTTAAGTAAAGACTCGTCTATCTCCACGCCAAGCCTCCTACATACTTGGTAAGTCAAAATATTGAGATTAGGAAGTCTCTTCCCTCTGGGTTCCTCTGCCTCACAAATCTTCCTAATATTCTCTACAACCTCACGTGTCCTTACTCCAAACAGATAAAAAGCTGTTTTGTTCCTCTTCATCCGACAAAAACTATCAAACTTAAAAGTGACACTACTCCTGTCCGGACCATTCATACGTGCCCTATTCCAACATCCATACTCAGAAACATAATGAGTCGGACCAGATACCAACCCACACTTATTACACGTCCTTTCTACATCTATATTAATAAATTGGTGTTTAAGCCCTTCGGAGCACAGCCCTTGTGATGGATCCTGCTTTTCCTGACCAATAGAATCTAAGTACTTCCTATACGCTATCCCAAAAAGCTCTATGTTCTTACTCCTCTTCCTTGGTTCCAGGGCGGATACCACTTTTCCATGTATTCTAAAAGAGTCTTTTCAAAAGGAGAATCCATACCAAATAATAGCTCCTGATTTAGAACCACTTCATCAAAGTCCCAACCAATGGAGTCTAAGTACGCTATTTCCAAAATATTCAAACCCTTACACTTATATAACCCCTTTCCCTAAGCTCTCGAAATAAATTCATATTTCCCCGGTATTTCTTAAGTGCCATTTCAAAAGGAGAATCCATACCTTTACTTATACAAAAACTTTTTCTTTAAACCGTTTACCTTCCCCCCGGCTTTTTTCAATCTGCTCTCGTACGGACTCAACAACGACAGAGTACGACGCTGCCGCCGTTATATAGATAATGGCAAAAGTCACTAATATCTTTGGGAAGACTCCGAAAAAACTTCAGGAAGACTCCAGCAAGCGCGTGGGGTGGGGGGTTTGCGGAAGGATTGCGGTGGTTGTGGCGGAAGTTGTGCGGGGCTGTGCGCGAGTGGGGGAAGAGACTTTCGAGGATAGTGTGTTCCCAGTGGGGCGCAAGGAATTGGGGGACCGGAAGTGGCGTCGTGCGTCATGGTTTTTATTCCGGGAATTCCGTTTTCAAGGAAGCGGACTGGGGATTTCCCATTCTGGGCATGCCCAAAACTTGCCCGGGTACATTATAATTTGTCTTACATGAAGTATTGACATTTTATGTGATAAACAATGTAGTGATGATTTTATGTGATAAAAAATGTAGTGATGTCCATGAAACGGCCTATATCTACTACTTTTAGGTTTTAGAGGTTAGGGGTTAGTTAGGGTCGGGTTGGGATTAGGATGCTCAGGATATACCTAGCATGGGTACTACCCGCATTCTAAAATTTAGAATACCGGTTACGTACCCATTTAGAAATAGCGAAACGGCTGGCTTAAATAGCCACCTAAAAGTCAATGAAATACTTAACCGTAACGTTAGACGGTTAGTGGTCGGGGATAGGAAAATTTATTAAACTGAATCAACTTTTATGACTACAGTATATTTTATTTACTCATTTTACAAGAAAATTCAAAGATAACTATTTACAAATTATACTGTGTTGTTGTTTAAATTGAGAGTCTTGATGCCAAGTTTCTGGTTAGCCTCCACTGCTACAATCATAGCAAAACTATCATGCGGACAATTAGCTGAAATCTAAGGTATGAATGTCCATATGCAAATGTTGGCATGTTTGGAATCCCGCACCCCCGTGCAATGTTGATTTTATATTGTAACTATTTAGTAAAACACGAGCAGGAGTGCTTTATTAGATATAAAACAGGAGAGCGCAGCTCGAGTGTTTCATGTCTGATAAAGCACGGACTACGACTTTGCGAGTGTTTTAAATGGCTTAAAAAACGACCCATCTAATGAGTACATTGGCGAAGTAATTTTAAAAATAAACGTTGTCTAAGCCGAGAAAATCAAAGCTAAAGTTCATGTATCACATAAAAACCACCGACACGGTGGTGATCATTTCCATTGCCTTTTCCTCATGAAATATTAATGAGTTTTCAATATCATTTCAACAATGAAAGAGGGAGGGGCGGGGTGGGGTGGGGGCTGCTAAATGCTGTTGTTGCAAGAATGTGATACGCATGCATATTCATTTGCGCACACGTTGCCGACAATCATGTTTGTTACGATTGTAGTTTCAAGGCCATTTTTAACGTACGTAAGTTCGAGCATAAGGTGGAAGAGCCAAGAGTGATAAGGTGGACCAGATCATAGTTCTTAGTATATGTGGCCCCCCATGCAATAAACTATTTTGGCATCGATTTTCCCCTCCTCCCTAGTGATCATTTTTGTCTTAAACATAAGCAAAAAGGGAAGAATGTCGTGGTTCAGAAGGTTTTTTTAATACTCTCACAATCAGACCTTGCTTTTACTGTAACCAAACCTTCTTATTAATTGTTCTGCAGGGGGGTGGACCCCAGATCCCCTAACTACGGTTCAGATTTACACGTCAACCACATTTCTATTAGATCCCGTATGGCCCTTCTGGTGATGATTTCTTAATAAGTCTCTGGCTAGTTTAGGATAAACTAGGACAACGTTTTGTTGCAAAACGTCAGTTCTAACTAAAAATGTTGAACTTCTTACTCTTAGCTTCCAAAATGACTAGTTCTGTTTTCACTACTGTTTCCCCAAAAACTGTTTGAAAGTTTTTACAGCTTCTTTTCTCAACATTTTGTTTTTCCAAAAGAAGATTAAGGAATCCAGAGTTGAATTTAATAGGACCATTGTTGCACACCAACTAGCAATAACTGTGGCGTCAAATTTGTCAAACTGTATCTGTGCCAGGATTGGAGGAGAAATGAAACTTATAAATGAACATATTACCACAAGCAAACAAGATTTCGCTAATTTGAAGTTACTTAGTATTTCTTGTTTTGCTATTTTATGAGAAATATTCTGATTGGATGGAGTGTTGAATTGGCTGATGTCTCGAGATTTTCTATCGCTGTTTTCGAGGTCTGATACATTATCATCATTACAGGCTTCAAGTTCAGGTCTGTTGTGTTGGTTTATTGAACTATTTTCCTGGTATGTACACATTGAACTAATCCTTTGAATATCGAAATTACGGCCTTCGTTTGTAGCAAACAGTTCTGGGTTTTCTTGTCTGTTGGATTCATGATGAGATAATCTACTTTCATTTTGATTAGCCGTGTTATCTTCATTATACGATACATTATCATGATCTTCTCTGTTATCCTGGTTGGTTCTTTGGTGAACAAGCCTGGTTTCCTGACAATTTCGACTCACTAAAATGTCATTATGTTTCTCTGTTCTGTCATCATGATATGAGTTCTCATTTTGATTATCCGGGTCCATGGATTGATTATCTGACAGGGTGCTTTCCCCCCTGATAATCGACAATCTCTGAATATTTTCTGGTCCGTTGAGGTGAAGATGTAATTTATCTTCTTCATCATTACGGCTGCTCTCATCATGATCTTCTTTGTTTTTTTCATGGTTTGAAAAATCACGTGGATTATCAGGTATATCTTTCAAGTTATTTAATCTGTATCGCTGGCAACTGGAATCACCGATAACTGGATCACCTGCTCTGCAATTTCTTTGATAATTATAATTCCTATTTTTTTGTTCTTCACACCCATGGTCATTTCGTTTTAATTGCGCTCTTGCAACAGTAAAAATCTTTTTATACAGGTATACTGTACTAACTAAATGTAGCATGCATATGACACTAATGAAATTTGTCAGCAAGGTTAACGACCCAATAGGTATGGTGGAAATAGTGATGCAAACACATATTACACAAATGCAAGTAATATATGTTGACAATTTTTTCTTTGTGACTTTATTGCGATGGAATACAGGGTGTACGATGCTGGAATATCTTTCAATATTCATGGCTGACAAAATGGCTATAGAAATGCCAGCTGATGTAAAGAAAACTCTCAAAAAAATGTAAAATTCTTCACAATTTACATCAACCATGATCTCTGTTGCTAACGCTGAGCAAAGCAACGGTGACGTTATCAACCCAATTCCAAGATCATTGATGGATTGAAGGAATATTAGAAAATGATATGTCTTCTTCTTCAAATGATTTGACGAACGAAATGTAATGATAGTAACAAGGTTTAAAATTATCGTTAAAATTGCTATGATGACGCATGTTGCAAAGACAACAATATGATTTATAAAATACTTTCTTGAAGGAAAACTGTTAACTACTTCAATCTCATCACCAAACACGTGACATGTTTTTAAATATCCAATAGTTTCCGCCGAAGTAAAATTGACCATGGTCTACGCCAACGCTGTTGAAGTTGCCTTGTGTCAATTTCTTTCTTCCCTCAATTTATGGCAGCGCAGCCATTTATGTACATACTGATGCATATTGGCATTGGGAAAATTTTCTTATGATACAGGACATACAGCTGGTATTTGCATTGTAGTGGCCATCAATAACAAAAGTAGAAAAGAAAGTGTAATAGTATCAATAGCTCGGTAATCAGTATTGTTTTTAAAAGCCTTAAAATAATCCAATATTGAGTACAAACGCCACAGCCCGCAACTTTAATGAACAATTTTCATTTAAATTAGAAATATTAATATTGGATTGTCCTAAATGTAAAGTTTCCTTTTAAAAAACTAATTAAAACTAATTTAGTCCTAAGACTAGATTCACTTTACTTTAAGTATAAATGATTATACAATTACTTTATGGTTTCCGTGTTTGGCAGGCCTGATCCAAACACGCGGTAATGTTGCGCGAGTTAAGAAAAGCGCTCGAAACACGAGCCGAAGGCGAGGGATTTTGCGCGCTTTTCTTAACTCGAGCAACATTCCCAAGTGTTTGGATCTGGCCATCCAAACACGGAAACCATAAAGTAATTGCTTTATAAAATAACAACATTCCGTGTTAAAATTTCACTTTATTAAAAAACTTTCACTTTAAATATTTCCGTGTTTGGATGGCCTGATCCAAATACAGGTTTCGACCAATCAGAGCACGCGTTATATACATGTTATTTTATAATTATGAGTTTTTGAATGGAATAATTAGGAATTTCAAGCGTGAGCGTACGAGACGGGGCACAAGGGAGTTCAACACAATTTTGGAAATTTACCAGGGGACGTCAGGGGAATTTTAGGTTTTGAGATGACATTAATTCATTGATACTCATGAATCAGTATATTACTAAAGTGAAGTGAATTTATTTTAATCCAGTCATCAAGGTATCCACTGGTATCAACGTGTGAGGTTGTCATTTACGTGGTTTATTTCCTCAGGAATTATTAATAGTCTGAGATAATCAATTCAAACGATTTATTGAACAATGGCTGCTTTTGAATGATCATGATATCTTGAAAGTTTTAACATGCAGTTAAACCCAAAGGTTTTCTAAAAGGAAACTCATATCATAGCTATATCGAGAAAATTATTCGGTGAAAATGAAATTTTTTCCACTTTAGGACGATACAATATATTAAATTACAATTATTCATTAATTTGTAGGCTGTAACGTTTGTACCCAATATTGAAATTATGTTAAGGCTTTTAAGCAAAATAGTGAACTATTGATACTATTACAATTTCTTTTCTAGTTTTGTCATTGATGCCACTACAATGCAAATATCAGTTGTTGCATCAGGAAATTTTCTCAAAGCCAATATTCAACGTAAAATGGCCGCTGCGCAGCCTTAAATTGGGGGTGGAAACAAATTGGCACATGGCAGCAATTCAATAAGTTTTGGCGTAGATACAAAACAATGGACACTCCATTAATTGTTAAAATTTTCATTCTCTATACGTTTCGGCTATTACTTTGTAGTCCGGCATGTTCACTGAGGGGAATGCGGCACGTTTTTTAAAAGTCAACTATTTATAAGCTCGCTGCTTTCGAGTTTCGAGTTGTAAAGTTTCATAATATCATCCGGTAATTACTGTAATTAATCTAACGGAAAATTGTCAGTTCAAAAGATGTCAGTAACAGTTTTATATGGAGTGTATTCGGTTTTGTGTTTAATTAAAATACTCTAAGGCAACCGTAATTTCTGGCGTAGACGACCATGGTCCATGGTCAACTTTACTTCAGCGTAAACTATTTGACATTAAAAAAAACATGTTACGTGTTTGGTGATGAGATCGAAGTAGATGGCAGTTTTCCTTCAAGTAGTTTATAAATAACATATAACATACTAGAAGTTACTATCGCAAGGAAAGTGCTGCCTCACCCCCAAGGGGTCAAAGGCAGCATGCACAATTTGCTGAATAAGCGGCTGTTTTTATGATCCCGCTTTGCCAGGATGATATATGAGGCGGGATGATTTAGATGTATTTAAATAAGTCACGGTGTACACTTCAGCAAAAACTTCATTATTTTCAAGAGATAGCAATAGTTATCTGTAAACTGAAAGGTTGTTCAAGCAGCAATAATAATCTTCTTGAACTACAAGATCTGCTCTACAACATTTGAGTTTTGTTAACCAGCATTTGGACTTTCGTTTAGCCTATGGACGTATTTCAATACATCAAAATCATCCCACATTCCATCATGTAAACAGCCCCTTAGCCTAAGATGCCTGTTCAGGAGGTAGGGAAAGTGCAATTTGAATACCAAACACCTTGCACAAAGTCAAAGGTCAGCTAAATATTCTAATTCTACTTTCTTGGCATGCCAAATTTATACGAATTCCTTCAATGCTTATAACTTCTTGTTTTTGTATGTATAATTATAATTACTGTTAGCATTGGTGTAGCTGGCCATAGTAACAGCTAGGTCATGCTATGGTTTTTAATGATTTGCACTGCAGGTCTATTAGCATACCATGACCAGTTACCATGGCTAGCTTGCCACTCAATACTGAACAATAATAGTTATAATACCATATGTACGTATATAAACAATAATAATACTTGAATGAATCATTGGACACATAGAATTTAATAACAATTTCATATATAGAAATACTAAGTCAGTTTTTTCCCCAATTATTGTTTTAATGGCACCTTCAAGGCTACCTCTATTGTAGAACAACTGAACAATCTGCTGATGGGAGACAAAATCTATATTTGTCGACATTTTTGTTTAATATGTCAGCTTCAGATGGCACCATTCATTTGTAAATACTAAGATAGTACACACTCAGAACTGCAAAACTATATAAGAAAGAAATTGTGAGCATTATGCACCAGTCAGTGAAATACCCCGCCCACCCCTACCCGGGGAACAGCGGGACATTAGACCAAGACCTTGCTCTATTTCACTCTCCGCTATATGTACCACTCCCACTTGCCTAAACACAAATAATCAGCGGCGTAGCCAGCCCGACAATTTAGTCCCGCTTTGCAAATTCAAAATTATTATCATTATTCATTTCTTTAGAAATTGATTGTTTTCTCAGTCAATGAACATGAAAATATTTGCATAGCGGGACTAAATCGTTGGGCTGGCTACGCTACTGCAAATAATGTCCCTGCTCTCCGGGCCCACCATACAATATCTACAAAGAATATCTGTCTAAAGGAAATAGACCTATTTGATAAATACAACCTTATTCGTACTTAATTTCGCACATCTATTAATTAATTAAACTGGATTCTTTTCAGTTCGATTTAGTTTTGCTCATTGTTCGGGGCCCCTAAAAACTGGGCCTTTCCCTTTTTACTTAAAATTTAAGTCATATCTATGGTCCATACTGAATGCTTAAAAAAATAGAACATCTAAATGGTTTACAATAACTTTCAAGAAAATAAAACGGTGACCTAATAACACAAGAAATTGTCAGTTCGTTCGCAAAATTATCAGCTCGCTTTCATTGCTCATTCCCAGTCCTTTTTCGTTTTCAAGATGGCAGCTATGTCTAATCCCCGATATAAGTCCTGCCAAAGTCCCCAGTACCTGATAATATAACTAATACAGTCTAAATCCCTGTGTAGCATGGTCGAATATAAGGTTCAATCTCTCAATAATTCCCCGCTATTCCCCAGGTAGGGGGGTGCGGGGCATTCCACTGACTGGTGCATTATCAAAAATCCTGAAATGTGGTGGTGACACAGCCAGGTGAAATGGTGAATACATGAAGGTCAGTAGGATTATTTCGTATTGTGCTAACAATGGACATATCTCAGAGGTATATTTTTACAGTATGACCATCATACCTTGTAACTGCTGGTAACTCAGTTAATATATGCAGACAACAATCCACACTGGGTTGCTATAGGATAAGGCCACTACAACTTAATCTTTAGTTTCTGGTCCGCCGCCCGCGTCCTTTCTCCGTAAAGTATTATTTCAGGACTATTTTGTTATTTACAATTAATTTCTAGTTCTTGAAAATTTTTGCGAAGGATTTAACTTATAGAACGATAAATATTCAATTTACACTAAAAGGACCTAGCAAAATGTAGTATTGAATGGTAAAAACCGCTGCCTTATCGAGATTACGAGGTAAAAAAAACTAGAAATATTAGATCATATGAATAGATCATTTTGATATGTAAAATCCTTTGTAATCTGTCATACATGTCGATTTATAAGTAATATAAATGCAATTGATGTAAAATTTCATAACATTTTGACTGATACAATTAGCATGAATAGGGACAAGAAAGACCACAAAAATGTGGGCAAAGCCACAATTGTAATTTTGTCCTATAGTCCCACCCGCCCGCCCGCCCGCCCACGTCGTAAACGAAGGTAAGGCCGGACCAGAAACTAAAGATTAACTTGTAGTGGCCTAATAGGAATATATTTATACACAACATTCTGCGTGATGAATAATATGCTACATTAATAAATGAAATATATTTAAAGCTAAATCCTCTTAACCGTGGAGCTAAACATTCATAGCCACGGGTGCATTTTAATATTTAATATGTATGACAGACTATGTTTTAGGCTAGTACACACAGACATTTCTCATTATAAATAGTGTATGAAAATATATGATATAGTGTATGAAAATATATGATATACATAATTCGCGCTGTGAATTGAGCAAATATAGAGGAAAAGAAAAAATCGAGCAAATTGACATACCTCTAAACGATATCCCTTTCTCACAAAACTTGAAGTATTAAAGCCTAGTTCTCATTCATCGCAAACTGTCACCGACGATCGGCGACGCTTATCGCCGATGCTCGCCGATCGCGGATGTACGAAAGTTCTCATACATCGGTGAACGTCGCAGATGACAGCCGATATATGTGTTTCGAAATTTCCCACCAAGGCACAAAATGGCCCCGTTCAACGTAAAGTTCATGATTTCTGTCAAACTTCAGTTGATTATTTTATTACGTGCCAAAAATCAGTATAAACGGACATCAAATTGAACGAGTTTATAAAAAGGAAGCTTTGGGTATAGTTATAGACGATAGACTTAGCTGGAATAGGCAAAATGAAGAACAATGCAACAAGATATCAAAAAATATTAATCTTTTAAGAAAAGCCAAAGATTTTGTTGGCCTAGATACGCTCAAAATTATGTATAACGCATTAGTCGCGCCTCATTTTAACTACTGTTCAACTGTTTGGCAAAATAACAACCAAACACACTTAGACAAATTATATAAGCTTCAGAAACGAGCAGCAAGAATAATAACAAATTCGGACTATACTATAAGATCTTCGGACATTTTTCAAAAACTTAGCTGGAAACCTCTTGACTTAGTTTTGAAAAAGCGAGATCTCCTTATGACATTTAAAGCGATTAATGGCATGCTTCCAGAATACGTAACACAACTATTTCACACTTGCGAAAACAATGGTTACGTACTGCGCAGTAGTAATTTAAAGCTGTCTCAACCTAAACCAAAAACGAATTTCTTGAAAAATAGCTTTTCGTACAGAGGAGCAGCGTATTGGAACAACATCCCAGTAAACTTGTTGAAAACCCTAAGAGAGTCAACAAGTTTAAAATCTGTCCATCATCTATTAAATAATTACATCTTGTAAATAAGTAAATAAGTAAATAAGTATATTTTGTAAATAAGTATAATTTAGTTTATTAGTTACTTCTTTTATAATGCATTTATTTTCCGCACGGCCCTTTGAAAATCACTTATGTGAAAGGTTACCGTGTTTAAAGATCAATAATAATAATAATAATAATAATTTCCTTGCTTGTTGAGGAAAAAACAACTTTTACTCATTTCTCATAGATTTTTCAAGCAGGTGGCAGTCGGCGATGGTCGCAAGAAACAAACTTTTTTGTTTCCTGCGATGTCATCGCCGATGGTCGGCGACGATCACGGACAATCGGCGATGTAATTTTTTATGTGTTCTCATAAATCGCAAGCG